TCTGTTTGGATTACTTAGATTGTGAAAATCAGAATATGCAACCAACTAAGACTGAACTTTGAAGATTTGGAACAAGCAGATTTCTTTGAAAAACTAAGCACGTCTCCCAAAAACGTGGACACACTAAATGCTGGAAAAATATATTTAATTATTTGTTGAGGACCGTTTTAATTTTCTGTTAATTTTTTTTTCCCTAACACTGAAAAATCTTACTTAATGACTGTTTTGACTGGAACTTAAATAAATAAACAATGGTCTCTGACTTTTGCACAGTACTGCATTTAAAATACTGAAGACCATATCATAATAGTATTAAGTAGCAGTATAAATCTATGTTTGGCATTCTGTTCATATCACCCAGTGTCAACACAGGGAATAGAGAACTTCAAACACAGCTCCACTGTTTGAAAGCCAAATGGACCATCTGTGTTGTTAGGTTGGTGCTGATTGAATTCTCCGTTGTATTCACCATATAAGAATGATTTATGGTACTTTATACAACAGTTAGTTCCGGCCACACGAGCTGATTGGTTGAGAAGTGTTCTAACTGTGCTGTTACTTCACCATAACATCATGGTTTTTTCACAAACACTGTATCACTCCACTGAGACGCTGCTGCTAAGCAACGACTTTGACAGCTGTAGGAGACGCTCAAACTATTTCAATGTTTTTACTTCTTACTTTGCCACAAACAGAAAATGGACACTGATCACATTTGACCGACAGCCGATTTGGTCAGACTCTGAAGATGAGACTACACTAAATTCCCAAACTGTCATCACCACTGAGCAGCTTTTCAGTCGGCAGCTGTGACAGAAGAACAGCTGAACAACCTGGAATCAGCCAGAAATGAACCCAACACCATTCGCCAAACTAAATGGGCTGTAAGATGCTTTACAGAACGGCTGGAACAAAACAACATTAATAATGATCTGGCAAAAAAAGACAAAACTGAGCTGAACTTGATATTGCGGCAGTTTTATGGCTCAGTCTAATTTGGTCAGACTCTGAAGATCAGACTACACGTTTGGCGAATGGTGTTGGGTTCATTTCTGGCTGATTCCAGGTTGTTCAGCTGTTCTTCTGTCACAGCTGCCGACTGAAAAGCTGCTCAGTGGTGATGACAGTTTGGGAATTTAGTGTAAGGAGCTGGAGAACGAACTGCTGGCTGTGCAGCGAGTGGGCGGAGTTCGTTACTCTGACGCAGCAACAAGCTGCTCGTTAAGGAACTATAATTTGGCGGAAGGAACTGCTGACATTAAAACATATTAAATGCCGCGTTCACGGCCCAGTTTATTAATATTAACATCATGGCTGTGATGATCTACGGCACTCGCCTTCGGCCGTGATGTTATTTGATGGTAACACACTCCCTCTCGTGTTCTACTGCTTAAGTAAAAGCTGTGCTGTAAATGGGTAGTGCAGGTCACATAAGGGAATGATGCACTTCACAGAGAAGAAACCAAAGAACATGCATGTGTATCAACCAGCAAGACTCCTTGAGAAGCATAAGCTGACCAATCCCATTGTCCATGTATGAGTGTGAACTACAGCACACTGTAATAATCTGGATATCTGCTGTAACATGATATACGGAGCTCACAAACAGAGAGGCTGACACAAACACTCACTCACACTGCATTCCTTATGGTTTTACAAAAACACCACCTCACACAAAGGAATACATGCACACACATACATGTGCACACGTGCACGTGCGCACACACTTCTCTGCAGCCACCGTCTGTCTCCATCGAGGTCGTGTGAGAGGGCGTCTAGGCCCCTCGAATGGCATGACCCATGACCCACCCGAGGTCTCTGGGGGCCCATTACATGAACACACACACTTCCCCACTGCCGTCCAGCAGGAGGAAGGCCACCAGGCTCCTGATAATGGCCCACCATACGGGGGGACGAGGTAAACCCGAATCCTCTACAAACACTCTGAGTGGGGTCAGGCAGCAGGAAAGTTGGCCCTGTGCTGCCCGAATGCGGTCAGTCTGACGCCTGGCCCTGTCAATCAATGCTATAGCACTGCCTCAGCAAAGCAACACAACTCCAAACGAAGAAGGAACAGTATGCTCCCTACAATGCCCTCACAGACATCCAGGAATTGGTAAATAGATTCATAAAGAACTACACTCTTTCAAAAGTTTAGAAATACCTGACTATAATTTAACTTGATAATACAAATTGAAACATGATGAACTAAATAACAAAAGGTTAGCTTATCAGCTGCCCTGAGATTAGATCACCATTTAATCATCACTTTCCAAGTCTACGTTCGTAGTTGGTTCCACAACACTGGATGATCTCCGAAATCACACTGAAAGAGCTGTGAATGCGGTGACACCCGACATGCTCAATCCAGTATGGGATGAGTTTGACTATGCCGTTGATGTTGTCTGTACAGCTGGAGGAGGTTCATACTGAGACCTTGTAAAATTACATAATAAACCTTATGCTCACTTATTGCTCACTGCATTGTTCTGTTATAATTTGAAATTGTAATTTTATAAACTGAAACTTCTTGAATCCCCCCTGATCATATGATGCTGCCAAGCTGGGGGCTAACACCATGTCACTGGACAGTGCTTGGAGGAGAACAAGCACTCAAGACTCCCCGAAATTCTTCCTTTAAGTTATCTGAAACCTATAAACTACTATAACCATATACAAATCATTTAACACATTTATTTGTAAGCAATTTTTTCTTTCATATTATTTAAAACCATGATTCCATATATTTGAATGGTGATTCCGAACTTTAAATGGCAGTGTGTGTAGGAATATACTGAATTCTAATTCCTTATTCCTTCTTTATTCCTTATTCTAGACTCATGCAGAAACATGAATAAAATCCTTTTATATGCATCTCAAACCCCAGAACATTCTTAATAATTCCAAAAGACATGCCTTCTAAAGTTGACAGCTGGCCCTGAGTCATGAACTTTGCCATTACCTCCCACTCTTCCACGCCTGTCTCAGCATAAAACCACAGAAACATTTCACAATCCTGATGTAGAGATCACAGAACGGTTCCCAGCAATACCATGACTGTTTAGCAAGAATGGTGACAATGTGCTGACAGAAGTGAAATTGAGAGAGAAAGGTGCTGTTGGGGAAAACAGCCATCTAAAATCCGCCTATTCTTTAAATCTGCGCTACCACGGATCTACTCAAAGACCGTCTAACCCAAACAACGTGTGTTTTCTGTATTGTGGTTGATCCTTTTGTATAAGTGTGTTTTTCTATGAATGTGTGGTGCAAAATAAAAACAACCTATCATTATTTTTGGGTGGTACAGTTTCACCATGCTGGAAAGGCCTGAGTCATTCTCAGAAATCCAATTTTGTCTTCATGCATGGAAATGGATACTGGTGAAGGGGCATTGTGTGTGTGTGTGTGTGTGTGTGTGTGTGAAAGAGAGGGAGAGAGAGAGAGAGAGAGAGAGAGAGAGAATGTAATAGAGAGAATATGTGGAGGCCTGTGTTAACTTAAGCTATTATTATTATGATTATATTAGTATTATTATGATTACAAGTGCCAAGAAACATCAGTACTGCACACTCACCAAGACAGTATACAAACCCCATTTCCAAAAAAGTTGGGACGCTGTGCAGAATGTAAATAAAAAAAGAATGCAATGATGTGCAAACCATGTCAACCATATTGTTAAAGGAAAATAGTACAAAAGACAACATATCAAATGTTGAAACTGAGAAATTCTGATTGTTTTTTTGAAAAATATATACCCATTTTGAATTTGATGCCAACAACACGTTTCCAAAAAAGTTGGGACAGCGGCCTGTTTACCACCGTGTTTTATCATCTCTTCTTTTAACAACACTCAGTGGTGACAGGTCTGGACTGCAGGCAGGTCAGTTTAGCACCCGGACTCCTGATATGGAGCAATGCTGTTGTTATACGTGCAGAATGTGGTTTGACATTGTCTTGCTGAAATAATCAAGAACTTCTCTAAAAAAGACATCGTCTGGATGGCAGCATATGTTGCCAAAACATGTATATATCATTCAGCATTAATGGTGCCTTCACAGATGTGCACATCACCCATGCCATGTGCACTAATGCGCCCCTATACCATCATGAATACTGGCTTTTGAATTGTGCACTGTTAACAAGCTGAGTGGTCTTTAGCCCGGAGAACACAGTTGTTGATTCGTTGGACCACAGGAAAATCTTTCCGCTTACCTCAGTCCATTTTAAATGAGCTCAGGCCCAGAGAAGGTGGCAGCATTTCTGGATCCTGTTTATATCTGGTTCCTTCTTTGTGTTTTAGAGTTTTAATTTGCATTTGTGGATGCAGCAATGAACTGTTTTCACAGACAGTGGTTTTTAGAAGTGTTTCTAAGCCCATGCAGTGATTTCAAATAAAGAATCGTGTCTGTTTTTCATGCAGTGCCGCCTGAGGGCCCAAAGATCACAGCCAGCAAATACTGGTTTTTGGTTTTGTCTCTTGCATACAAAAATTTCTCCAGATTCTCTGAATCTTTTAATGTAATTATGTACCGTAGATGATGAAAAGCAAAAGTTCTTTGTTATTTTATGTTGAGAAATGTTATTCTTGAATTGTTGCACTATTTGCTTGTGCAGTCTTTCACTAAGCGGTGAACCCCTCCTCATCTTTACTTCTGAAAGACTCCGCCTCTCTGAGATGCTCTTTTATACCTAATCATGTTACTGACCTGTTGCCAATTAACCACCAGGTATTTTTTTAGCATTTACTTTTTAGCATTTTGTTGCGCCCGTCCCAACTTTTTTAGAACGTGTTGCTGGTATCAAATTCAAAATGGGCACATATTTTTTGAAAAACAATAAAATTTCTCAGTTTATATGTTGTCTTTGTACTATTTTCAATTAAATATAGGGCTTAAATAATTCGCACATCATTGCATTTTGTTTTTATTTACATTTTGCACAGCGTCCCAACCTTTTTGGAAATGGGGTTGTACATACAAATAAAGTTCAGTTTCACTTACCTCCTGTTCCAGTGTTCATCTTAAGCCCCAACTGAAAAGAAGCACAAAGAAAAGTGTGAGTTACACAAATACGAACACACAGAGACAACATGGACAGTCTCACTGTTTGACCACTTAAGGGTGATTAACAACATGCTTACAACAATGTTGCAATATGAATAGCATATTATACTTAAAACAAGTTCAGGACAAAGTTGTTTTCAATAGAGACTGTAGTGTATGTAGTTTGTAGTTTCTGCCCCAAGAACCACGAAAAGTTCTCAGCTGGTTCTGGAATTTTCCGATAAATGAACTGAGCTACGAACAAATATCAAACAAATAGTCATTTAACAAACCAACAAGAAGGTCCCGACTGATATAAAACCTTTGTGGCTGATACCAATATCGTTCTCTGCGTGTTGTACCATGCTGTTTTCATGCTAAAGTTCAGGTGATGTTTTTGCTGATACCAATAAAACAGTGGGTCATCAATATTGCCAATATTAACAGCCAAACAACACATCAGTTGGGCTCTATCAACTAGCAGTGCTTGACTTGTTAAAACAAATAAATAATCATTTTTTGGAACTGGTTCTTTTCAATAAATTGGTCAATCTGAATCAACATTTTTGGAACATACAATGTCAATGTTTATCAGTGTTATAAACGGAAGACTTTTATAGCAAAGTTCAATGAATAATCCCAAACAATTTAATTTCATATCATTATAACATAAAATATTGCATTGCAACATATTAAGAACAATCGCTTATGTTTTCTTTCTGAAGGCTGTAGTGGACTGCTTTTCCATGCTTTGTGCATTTAGAGGTACCAAAAATTGATTGACTCACACTGAATATAGAGGAGATGACTAGACTTCACTCATAAATCAATGATTCACTGAATCAGATGTTTTATTTACTGAAATGAACATCAACATGTCTCAAAACATTAGTTTGGTAAACTGAATCACTATTAGCAACAATCATGAATATAAAGTCACTGTTGTGACAAAACCTTACATCTCTATTTTTATCATTTACTTTTTTGCGCAATTTAAAAAACTCCAGTTGCCCTTTACATTGTCTGTGTTTACATGCAAAGATTTTTGCCAATCCAATTGAAAACATTCCCATTAAAGACTCAACAATCCGATGGAAAATCTCCATTTACATGCACACTACCAACAGTCAGATCTTAAATGGTGCACATGCATAGAGAACTGTGTGAGATGAGCAGCAGTGAGCAGCGCTTGTGTTTTTAACTGCTTTAAAATGATGTCAGACTCAGGAAAACGTCCTTCACATGTCCTTATTAAAGAAGGCCGAGAGGAAGACGTCGTGTTCTGAGACACATAAGCTGGACGTCCGTCCCACCGCCGTCTTTTAAAGATCAGAGCATAAACTTCGTCTCCTCTGCAGACCAGTTTCTGCTCCGCCATGTTGAACGGTATAAACTTTCACTATGACGCGACGAACACGATCAGAACGGACTTAAACTTTCTGACAGGGAATGTAATCAGATACAGGCGTTTACACGGATATTATTCTTCTATTTAACGGATTATTTACAGGATTACCCACTTCGTTCAATCGGATAGAAACTGCATTCGAAATGGCCTCAATCAGACTAGCCTATTCTGATCGAGGTGTTTACATGGAGGTATTCTATTCCGATTGAGCTATGAGTTGGATTATTAGGCTGCATGTAAACGTGGCTATTTTCTTAAAATTTTCAGATATATGGACCAACAGAAATGGGCTAAAATTACTTGAAAAATCAGTTAAATTAACTTTCATTCAGAGTTAAAGTTTCCTTTTCCTGGAAAGTTACCATTTTTGGAGATACAAGGTCTCCTTCAGACAGCGACAATATGCTTCACAACTCCTCCATTCCAGGTCTGAAATTAAAGGAAGCCACAGGAGTGCCACAGGGGTGGGTGTTTCGGAGCTTTCGGGGAGCTGACACAGACGTTCCAGTTCACAGCGTCTAGGAATGCTGATCTCACGCCTCTAACCAGCTCTCTCTTTCATTGATTTAAGGCATCAATTACACAAAGAGCGCAAGCAGACAGAGGGCTCCTACACAGCGATCAATAGCAACTCTATTTCCAGCCGAGAGCTTACTATGATGGATTCATCTTCTCTGCGCGCACGATCAGACAGACAGACAGACACATTCAGTTCTAACCCAGAAAAACATACGAGATAAATCACTAAAGGACCAGAACCAGCTCTTAAATCTCTATTTGAACAGGTCAGTAACTGGGGCTGTCAACTGTAACTACTTTAACTGTGGGGTCAAAGTTTTGTTGTATAATAAAGTCCTGAAGGACTCTCCTTAGAAAGGGAGAGACTACATATACAGATTTGGTTTACATTTGACAAATGGATACAAAACTGAGTGCTATTACTGTGAATGTTAATCACCAACTTCTTTCAATTTTTATGCTTTTAATTCTCCCCTTTAACGACAGGGTTAAGTTCCAGCTCTGAAAACACTGACATTTGTGGGGAGTTTATTTTTGGGCCATAGTTGCATCTCTTTCTATGCTATTCTCAGGAGTGTCTGTGTGCTGCTCTAGTTCAGAGAGGGATGAAGGACGTTGTGCTGGTTAAAGTTGTAATACGCCTCTGATGTGACCCAGTTATAAGCCCAGTGCATGGCTCCACCTCTGTTTCACACAAAAATACCCTACAGGAAACGCCATCCTTCCAACATAGGTCAAGACTGACTAACAATACATGAATGAAACGTTATTCGAGACTGAGCCATGCAAACAAGAGAAGAGTTTATTTGCTGGGAAAACAGCAAAGAATCTGGTTTTCTAGGGCTTTCCAGACTTTAACAGTTGGGTCGAGCTGAACCCAACTGACAGAATGAGAGCCTGCTATCTCTTCCTCTCAAACTTACTAAATAAATAAATAAATAAAAAAATAATTTTTCACCCAAGACAAGTTTGGTTCCATTTACCATGACTTTATAAGCCAAACTATAAATATAAACATCATTAATTGCTCTTTAGTTGCCAGTTCAGTTGCCACTTTATTTAAATAACATGAATCAAATAAAGTATATCAAAAATAATAAAGATTAGAGGCAACTGGACATGTAACACAATGAGTCATGTAAAATTATGCTACAACATTTTGGTACAGATGTAGCAGCAGCAATCAAATACTGCAGGGGTGCACTTACCTGACTCACCTCATTTACCTCATAAAATTGGACAATTGCTGATTTTGTGTTCTGAACAAAAATCGAACAATTACAATTGTGCATCCATGATCTACATATTAATATTTATATTGCTGTTGTTGGAAGAAAACCTTGTATCTCCAAACATAGTAACTTTACAGGAGAAGGAAAAAACATACCTTACTTTTAATGTAAGTCAATGGAACCAAAATGTTTTTTCAAGTAATTTTGGGTCGTTTCTTTTGGTCCATTCTTCATGAAATTTACACATTTCATTGTAAAGAATAACAGGCATTTTCAAATTATGCCAAAAACTGAAAAATGACAAAAATGGAGATACGTTTTCTATATATCGTCAGCTCCAAACGTCTTTGTGCTTTATTAAAAAACATGTGAGAAACATGTAAAATAGCAGCAGTGAGTCTTCTGCTATAACACTTGAGATTGGAGAATACAGAGCAGCAAATCTGAGACCACTCCTCAAAACAGAATCTCTCCAAAATTCAACAGGGTCCTAGATACTCTCTTTTGAACTCTCCTCTTCAGCTCACCCCACATGTTTTCAAAGGAGTTTGGGTCAGGGGATTGGGATGGCCATGTCAAAAGCTTGATTCTGTGGTCACTGAACCATTCTTGTGTAAATTGAGACAGATGTTTTGGATCGTTGTCTTGATAGAGGATCCAACCACAAGCCAGTTTTAGATTTTTGGCAGAAGTAGTTAGATTTTCATTTAAAATCTCCTGGTGCTTAATGCAGTCCATGAAGCCATGTATCATAACCAGCTTCTTGTGGCTACTGGCAGAAAATCAGCCCCAAAACATCACAGATCCTCCTCCATGTTTAACAACGGCATGAGGTTCCTTTCTGTAGAACCATCCTGCTTCTTACACCAAATCCACCTTCAGCATTTGTTGCCAAAAAAGCCCTATTTTGGTCTCTTCTGACTATAGAGTGCAAAAGTTCCACCATTCGCTCCTCTGTTGATGCCACCATGTTCTCGAATCCCCGCCGGCACACAATAAAACTCGGGATATGTTGGCTGGTGAAGGATCCACCCATTGGATCCTTCGTCGCCATGGAAAAGAAGGCTCAGCCGCATTTGAAGGAGGCTTCGAACTGAGACAGTCTAGTTGCGCTGCTGCGATGCAATCGGCCTTCAAAAAGCAGCCTCCGAAGGACGCAGCCCCTGAATTGAGACACACGGCTTATGTCTGTGATTAGATATAATAGAAAGTGTCTAACTGTAACTTTGCAGACTTGATGACCCCAAAATTCTACCATCTTTTGCTAATCTTCAATCGTGATCCTTTGAGAAACTATCCTCCTCACTGTGTGTGGGTCAAAATGAACAATTATTCTCTCCCAGGCAGGTTCACTACAGCTCAGGTTGTTTTAAACTTTATTGCCCAAACATTGGATATTGACATTTTTATAGCCACTGCCTGACTTATTAAAGTCTACACTTCTGTCTCATTTTATTTGTGTATTCTCTCACCTTCCCCATGGGGAATTTGGCCTTTGTGTCGCCACTTATTGACACACCAGTGAAAGAGGACATCATGGATGACTGCTTAAGTGTTCTTGAACACTCAAATGGACCTAAAACATATCTATTAAGCCCACCAACATCTACACTGAGACATTTTTAGAGCACAAAACAATTTGATGTTTTGCTAAACTAGTCACCAGTTTTTTGATACCTTTAACATCAAACAGATGTAACTATCTACAACCCCATTTCCAGAAAAGGTGGGACGCTGCACAATGTAAATAAAAACAGTAAAAAAAAAAAGACGTCATCTGAATGGCAGCATATGTTGCCAGAACATGTGTATATCATTCAGCGTTAATGG